CGGCTTCACCTCAACATCCGTCCTAGCGTCCGAATTTTGAACACGCATAATTTCGGTCATCTCACGGAACAAATCCACAGCTCTTTGTGGATCCTCCTCGACGTCAACTTCTTAAAAAAATGGTTCTATGAGAAAACAAAATGCAAAAAAAAACAAAAGGGAAGGATTTGTTGCAAAATGTATCAATTCCCAATAAGTAAAAGTGAACACTTACCCATTGCGTTACATGAGGTGCTCGAAACAGTCTGGGATGCCATCCTAGTTGAAGTATTTTGGCCCAGTAACAGCGACATAGCCGAAGCAGATGGCACCGGATGTCGACAGCGAATTGTCCAGTGGCATTGTGGACAGCTCATCTCCTTGTTTGGCAAGCTCCAGAAGAGAGCGCTCAGAGTGAGACCTAAAGTGCGCATTAAAGGGAACCGTTTTAGACTTAAGAAACAAGAGAAGAGTACGACACTTGCGTCATCCACGAAAGGACTACCGGCAAAGAAAAAGCAAAAATCAAACAAGCATACCTCTTTCTGCTATGCGATTTCGGTTTCTGTGTTGGAGTTTGTCGAACAAGAGGAGTATCAAGCAAACTTTTCATTCGGCTCACCCAACTATCGAAAGTTTCAGGTTCTTCGTTGCTAGCAGTGGAAAAACTGCAAAAAGCACAATTTACAAGCCGTGGCAAACAGGAGCAAAACATCTTCTAGTGGAGTTCAATTTACTAACCCATCAATGTCCATTAGTTGTAATGCAGGCAGCAAAGGCATAGCAGTATTCGAAAGACGTTTGCAGAGCGGACATAGGTACTCCCCCACCTAAAGTCGTGAATAAGAACAATCTGAGGAGCTAAAGATTATAGCACAAAATTCAAACCTCTGGATCAACCATTTTTTGATTGAGAACCATCTGCTGACGCGGTCGTTGACGTTCTCTGCTGAGAAGGGTTTCCGAAAGGCTACAATTCATCACTATGAACAACTAAAGACAGAAGCTTTCTAAGGTAAAACACCTATAAGAAAATATACAAGTTTTCTTAAACAATTACAAGATAGCGTACCTATGGAAACATTCATAATGCATTGTGTGTGAACATGTCGAAGCATCAACACCAAAGAGAAGATTCGCTGGGGCTAAGTCTCGCAACTTTGCTTCAGTTTCTGGTTCACCGCGCTGTGCAAAGAGCAACGACCTGGAAGCGTTCCCAGTGTATTTCTAAATACGAAGCCAAAACCTAATTAATCAACTATTTAGGCCAGAATCTCCCTGCGTTCCTGCTTAGGTTTTACCAATATAGCTAGAAACTCGTTAGTCGCCATGACAGCTAAACAAGATAGTCTTGACGCTAACTGGACTGTGGGCAGAGCACGCCGTACGTTGGAGATCCTAGCAAGGGGGAAGGGGGTGGGCTCATATTCGGTCGCTGGTGATAAGCATAATGCATTTTCTTCCGAGCAAAAAATTTCTGGTTGCTCCCCCGTTTTGCGCATATCAGTAAGAAGTTTTAAGAGGAAAATTTCCATTAAATTGGTAGAAGTTAGGGAACTTTAAGACTGCAGGTATTAGGTTGTCTTGGTATTAAGTTCTCAGCGTTTTGTGTTACCATTTTTTGTACATTCATTGCTGATTAAAAACTCATTCTCCCTTGCGTCTCAGTAGTACATCCTGAAGAGAATTCTTTGCGCTATCTGATGGTATAATTGCCGTTTCACCATTGCTTGATAAACCCCCTTTTCCCAAGACTTTTGAAGCATGTG